GCTGGCGCGGGATCGGGCAGTGTTTCGTTCTGCTGTGCATGGGGTCGCTATGAGTCGGAAATGACTTGCCGGCACTTAACAACAACAACATATTCTTGTCAAATATTAACTTCCTTCGGCACTTTAATTAAAAATGGTAGTGGATACAATGAAACAAGAAGGCTAAAAGAGTGCAATGACTATTACCAAGTTTAGCCTAGTATATAGATTTGTTGGTTAATTGCTTACATCTGAGGCTACATCATAAATTACATCTGTCATCCTGGATGCTTCAGGATCTTAATTAATAGACTGTTTTGGATCAAGAGTAATATTGGAACTGATAGGTTTTATGAGATAATTTAATATTGATCTAAAAATATTTTGAAATTTAATATATAGCTGCCAAATTTTTAACAGATTATAATGTCATGAGATTTCTAAGTTTCTGGAATTGAAAAATACTAAATATGATCATAGGGAAGAAAATGCTAATCTTCCAAAATAGTTGTCTTAACTTTTGTTTCAATCAAGAAATATATTAATGGGTAAAGGAAAAAAATTAAAGCCTTTTATTTTAAATCATCATCCCTATTCTATTATTATTTCTGTTAATTGAAATTGAAATCTACAAATGAGAGAAGCTATCAGAATGATATCCTTGGGAAAAAAGGAAACCCCCCCAAAAGTCATGTCCTTATAATTTGCTTTATATAACCCATGTCTTTTTATTTTATTCATATTTTTCACCTCTAGGCGCTTTGACAGATCTGTTGAAAAATGGCGACATTTTCATTATGATATGAAGATATTTAATCAATGGCTAACAGAAGCTGAACAGTTTCTCAAAAAGACACAAATTCCTGAGAATTGGGAGCATGCCAAATACAAATGGTATCTTAAGGTATGTTTTTGAGATATCTTTTTTCCAAAAAGTCTTTATCTTCATCATGATTCTCGACTCCGTACTTAAGTTCAGGTTGTGAAGGATGATGGAAATTTATAATTCCTGACTTTTATTGTCATCACTACACATAATGGAACATCATTATAATGATCATGTTGGGAGACTGTGCTTTGGACCATTTGTGTCAAGGTAAGAGTTAGCTTAGACATAACTGCTTTATCTGATGAACCACAAAGGGGTAATGGAATCTGTGATATGGAGAAGTATTCACAGTGGCATTTGGGAAGCGTGTGATTTTGCCATATGTTGGAACCTGTTTTCCAGAAGGAAAACCTGTTGTATGTTTAGTTGTATGTTGCTGCTAGAAATAGCCATCATGATAAAATTACAGTCATTTCCTTGAAGATAGTTTGTGGTGATGTAGAAACACTTCTATATATTCTTTCGAAGAAATGCCTTCTGAGATAGTTCAGAGGCTAAAACAATGGAGAGCTAATAGGTGGTAGTTATTGACTTTTTCATGGGTTATGTTAATGGAAATGCAACATATGGATTATAACAAGTGTGGCATTTAATTTCAACTTGTTGTATCTTTTGAACATGTAGATAAAGATAAATTGCATTGTGGAGGACATAATTTAGGGTGTACAATATATAGCCTTAAAAAATATTTTGCTTATTAAACCAAGACTTAAGTATTTTTGCAACTTTTTAGCTCAAATTGTTCATGTATCAAATTTCTATCAAGAGGATTTGAATTGTAGCCAATTATTAAGTGATGGAAAATACTTGTTAAAGACAAATGAAAGCAAAGAAAAAGGTAGTTTGTTAAATAGCTTAGATATTTCAAAATGCTGGATTCATAAAAGCAATATTATATTCAAGTATACAATTCATGATTGTCAACTATTTTTTGCATAGCTAATATATATTTTTATATTCACGAATTCATCATTTAAATACCTTGTATATAATAAGCTGAGTAAACACAGAGAATGAATACTTTTCAAAGTTTTTGTAATTATATGTGTATCATTCACACGTGTATATGCAGTCAGCATTGGCATTTGAAGATGGAGCAAATTCATGGATTTCCAATCTGCTATCATGCAGAAAATACATTTTTTAAATAGCACTAAAATGAATTTTTAGTTAATACAACAACACAACACAACTCAGGGAGGCCTTCTACCTGAATCACAAAAATATATTAGAGTCATATAAAGTGTTCTGGGGGAGATTTATAAACCTCTTAGCATTTCCAAAGTGATCCCAGACAAGATAATTATATAGTATGTGTGTGTGTGTGTGTGTGTGTGTAATGACATTGATTTCAATCCCCATAATGTAAGAACTCTCTTCTCACTTCCACCCTGTGATTACCTTTTCCCTGTGTCCTTCTTTCCTATATATTCCTGCCCTCTGAACTCTCTCTCTGTGAAAATGCTGCCCTTCTGATGATCTCATATGGTATATTTTAAATCTCTGTTTTGTGTTTTAAAATAACATATAATTGTGATGGAAAAGCTATGCAATATAAGAATGCATCTATACCTCCATTGTACTCCCCTCATGATAGATATTTTAGTATAAATTTTGGTATAGATTTAAGGTTGGGTTCCATGAAAAGCTTACTCTGAGATGGAGATTAGCAGTCAGGGAGTTGTTAGGGAGTATTTTGGGGATTAAATAATTTATTTATGATGTGTCTTGGTGTAGTTTTCTTCATGTTCATTGTGGCTGATGTCCATTAAGCTTCTTGAAACTGTGAGTTTATAATGTTCATCAAATTTAGAAATTTTGTAGTCATTGTTATTTAAAATATTTTCTTCTTCTTCCTGCTTTTTGGGAATGCCAATTACAAATAGTTGGGCTGCTAAAAGTTGTCCCTCCACTCACTGATGTTCTGATGATTTTGTTTTCATTCTTTTCCTTTTATCTGTGATTCATTTTAGATAATTTCTATTATCAAATTCACTACTTTAATCTTCTGAAATATCTAATTTGTGGGTAATTCCATCCAGAACACTATTTCTAATATCAGACATTGTTATTTTCAAATCGTAGAAGTGTAATTTTTTAAAACAATATTTCCATGTCTCTACCAACATGTTCAATCTTGCCTTTACCTTTTTGAAAAGATAGAATAAATTATAACTATTTTATAATAACTGTCATAATATCCTTGTCTACTAACTCTGTCATCTTTGTCATTTCTTTCAGCTGAGTTATTTTTCTCCTAATTATAGGTGTTATATTCCAAAACTTTTTTGATATCTGGTACCTTGTTAAAGAGCCTGGTGGTGCTATGGTTAAGGCATCAGGCTGTTAACCAAAAAGGTTGGTGGTTTGAACCCACCAACCACTCCATAGGAGAAAGATGTGGCAGTCTGATTCTGTAAAGATTTACAGCCTTGGAAACTCTATAGGGGGTCTCTATGAGTCTGAATTGATTTGTTGGCAGTGGGTTTTGTTTTGAGTTTTGGTATCTTTGTTATCAGTTATATAGTGCTGCTATAACAGAAATACCCCAATAGGTATTTATTTCCTCACAGTTTAGGAGGCTAGAAGTCTGAATTCAGGGTGCCACCCCTAAGAGAAGGCTTTCTTTCTCTGTCAGCTCTTGAGGAAGTTACTTTTTTCTTCTGTGCCGCTCCTGGGTCATCTTCATGTAGCTTGGTATCTCGCTTTCCCCACCACCTCTGCTTCCTAGCTTGCTTGTTTAATCTCTTTAATATCTCAAAAGAGATTGACTTAAAACACACGCTACACTATTCCTGTCTCATTAACATACCAAAGACAACTCATTCCCAAATGGAATTTTAACCACAGGCATATATTTTGGTGGTGGGGGGGGCCCACAATTCAATCCATAACATTCTACCCTATGGCCCTAAAATCTTTCATGTTTTTGCCACATGCAAAATACATTAACCCCATAGCATCATCTCAAAAATCTCAAATCAACTCCCAAATCTCATCTTCTGAATCATCTAAATCAAATATGGGTGAAACACATATTTCATCCTGGGATACAATTCCTCTTCATCTGAGAACTTGTCAAACCTACAATGCAGGTTATCTGTTTCCAAAATATAATGGTGGGACAAGCACAAGGTATACATTTCCATTACAAATGGGAGAAATTGGAAGGAAAGAAGGGATAATTTTCACCAAGCATGTCTAAATCCCTGAAGAACAAATTACATTAGCTCTCAAGTCTTGAACATAATCCTCTGTTCTCTGAGACCATTTGTGAAATAGCCCTGCCCACCAGACTCTGGATATTGACCATACCCTTTGGGTTCCTTGGCATGGCAGCCATGTCACCTCAGTTCCGGGCAGCAGCCTCATCCCCCAGGCACTCGTGAATGGCACCCTCACACTTCAGAACTGAGTTGGTGAAGTTCTGTCTCTTTGAAACTTAGGAGGTTGTGGCCCCACCCTTTGAAACCCAGCAGGCCATGGTGCTGCCTTTTGAAATTGAGACAGCTTTGCTTACCGTGTTCCTTCCAACAGTTCTGCTGATCTCCAAGTTGCCCAAGGATGGTCCTTTTATTTTCTTGGAGGAAAATAGATGTAGGTCTTTTGGTCTGTTTCCTGCATGGAGAATTTCAAAAGACAGACAGTGTTCTTTGCTTTCATTGGTTCTCTGTCTCCTTCAGTCTAAGCTGATAGGTTTTCTGACGTGGTAGTTGTTAGATACATCAGCCACAGGATTAGTTTCTTAAATAAAAGATTGTGTAGCCATGTCCTTTTTGAAAATTCTGGGACATACATTTGTAGTTTGTACAATAGAATTTTCCAAATCTTTTGCACAGATCATTTTTAAGTTTGTCTCTTTTCTCTCATATCTTACTATAAGTGGTGAGGAGACATCACACTGCTCCTTTAAGATCTTCTTTAGAAATCTCCTCAGTCAAATATCCAAGTTCATCACTTACAAGTTCTTCCTTCCAACAAATATTTAAACATAATTCAGAAAGTTCTTTGCACTGAATAAAAAGCATAGCCACTACAAGTTCTACCTTCCACCAAACATTTGACCATAATTCAAAAAAGTTCTTTGCTACTCCATAGAAAGCATGGCCCTTCCTCCATTATCCAATGACATGTTCATTATTTTCTTTCATAGCCTCACCAGAATCACATTTAATGTCAATATGTCTAGTAACATTCTGTTGCTGGTACCAAATGTATTCGCTAAGATGATAGAGCCTTTCCCTTTAGCTCTCCTTACTTCTTTCTGAAACTTTATGGGTATTGCTTTGGACATCCATAATTCCACCAACATCTCTTCAACACAATCTCAGCTTTTACTATTGTTGTTGTTGTTAGGTGCCGTCGAGTCAATTATGACTCATAGTGACCCTATGTATGACAGAAGAAAACACTGCCCAGTT